TTTGAAGCAATTTGGATCACCTCACCTTGTAAATTATTTTTTGCAAGTAATATTACTTAAATGTGGGAGAAAAATAAAGACATTTTAGACCTTTCTTATTAAATATGCACTATCATTGACCGAGTCCTAAATTAAAACGGAGCTACGATGCACTTTGGCTGTAACAAGCAACATAAAACTAAATATTTCAATTATTTTTTGGCTTTCTGCAAGATAATATCAAGTTGATTTCACTATCTGTTACAAAAGTTCATTAGATATTTATGTTGCTTCATCGCGCTATATTCAATAAGAATATCTGAAAACAAGGCGCAGTCTAGAAACCTTCAAATGGGGCTAAATCTAATCTCACTTGCATTGGCCTTAAAGTTATGAACTCATTGAAAAAAACATTCTTTCTGCACCATTGGCGACCCCAGTATGACATGCATAGGTTTTTATGCTTCTGCTGGATTTCTGTATGTTTGCACATAACGACTTTACCTGATTCAAAATTACATTTTGTACTCTGTGCACTTGTTGAATGTACACCATTGCGTTGGATGTTACTTCTAGCATAAGCAATTAAGGATGCACATTCTTTCGCCACCTAAGTCAAATACCTTTACAAAAGCTTAGACACTTCATATATTTGGTGCTGTCCTTTGTCAGAAACATTTGTTGGGATTGCTTTGAACAAAGCAACACGGAAAGCAACATGCAGGTTGACAAATGGCTCTGAAGCAGTTGCACGTTACAAAATGACAGTTTGTTTCATCGCAGTTGGAAACGTCAGCGCGCATTTGGGTGAGATCACCACCCTGTCAAAATTGCTTCGGTCATCTGAATACAAGGGTTTTCCAGAACCCACGTGTAAGAGCGAGATATAAAAGGGTTGGAAATGTTTACTCTGGCGTTTACAAACAAGGTTTACAATAAAGGTGGCTTGAGTAACCTGAATGCATCTTGGAGTTCTCATTTCCGGTTAAGTAACTTGAGATTGCCATCAAGGCGGAATTGCCAAAAGTAGGGAGATTCCTAAAAATAGTTCAAGTAATGAAGTATGCCTAAGGAAACCTATTTATTACTTGGCCCAATCAAAGGCACATTTCTTCTGCTTTCAAGTGTCTTCAAGTTACATATCTGTAGGCAGCACGTTGTCTTCCAATTATAGCTGGGCTAACTTCCAGTTTTTTTCCAACAGAGACAAAGCATTGTTTTATGAGTTATGAGCTCCGAATTTGTTTCCATTTTTCCTTCACTCACCTGCTTTGCACCTGCATTACTTCCCTGTCATTTTTCTTGGAACTTAGGAAGTGCCCACCTTCTTCATGTTTGACCAAGAGGCGTGTGTGATTTAACCTACAAGTTAGAAACTAAACGACACGTTAGATAATAGCGTGATCAAGCTAACTTGTTGTATACCACATTTCTTGTAGTAATACGTTGCATCGTGTCCCAAAAAGCTACTTCTGTGGATGAGACCTCTTTGTTTTTGGTCAAATGTCTGTCTTCAGTTTTAGCGTTTTCGAGACATGGGTCTTGTATTCCGGATAACTTGGTACAAGCTTTCAAACTAGACAAAGAAGGTTGTAGACATGAATTTCCCAAAGCTGAACTTTTTAACGAGTTTCATTGAACATGTTTCCGTTACACAACTGAGTGCACCTTTGATGACTAATCACGCAACTTATACATAAAAATGGTAATTTTACGTAAGCGTATTGTCCATTTCCCAAGAACAACGGAAGTAAAGTTATTCTATTGCAATCAACGACGCATTTTGCTCATTGTTAATTTTACACTGCTCATCCAGTGTGTTTGTCAGGTCCGACCGGAAAGCCATGAGTTTCTCCACCAGTCCCTGGAATCGTGTTAATTTGATACACCACATTTAAACAACTTGAAATGGGTTGCCGTTACTCTCTAAAGCAGTGTGAGACCCAAACAAGAACTTACTAAAAATAGCTTCACCAATCGCCGATCGGTATACACAACGTTGCGCAAGAAAAATGTTTTTTTCTACTTTTGGTTTTCTTTCAAACTGTTCTGATGGAACAAGAAAACTTTACGTTCTAGCAACATCTATTGTTAGTCTGTCAAGGACAGTATGCCTGACACTGCTTATGCTCAGGCTGATCCAATGGACAGTACACGTTATTTCGAAAACTAAAAGTGACTTTTTGTAGAACAAAACTAAGAGTTGCGTTCAAGTAAGCGAATCCAGACATAAGTTACGAACTGTCAAAAGATAGTGACACGATATTTTGTAAATGTAGTTGAATGAAAGGGAAAATTTGTGGCATAAAAGTAGTCAAGGCTGAAATTTGAATCCTGTCGTAGGAAAACATATGATTGAGGCGTTAGGTTTACTTTAAGTAAACCTAAGCGAAATATTCTTAGCAATTCAGAGGGCCAGTTTTTCTGTAAATAACATCCCTAACTAACGTAATGTAAGGTAACGTGTGTTTATGCTTTTCGTTTGGTTCTCTCAAACGAAGAACCACTTAGCATGAGAAAATTTGGTCAGCGTTAGCAACTTTTAAACTCTTCAGTTACTTAAGTTTTCCCACGGGAATATTTATTCTGCCAGCAGACATACATTACCTAGTCACATGAAACATAAGTTGATTTCCGCCAAAAAGAATGACAAGTACAGTTATTCTCCTTTGAGTAGATCAAACAAAGCGGCTAGATGAGATACTGCCTCTGTGACCTTACAACATAAAGTCGACTCTTCTAACGAGCGGTCTCGTATGAGTTAGGCAGAATTTTGCGGATGCGTTAATAGGAATATATACAGTGTACGCCCTATACAGAGTTATATCGTAGTATCTCAAACTATGCTTTCAACGGCAGAAAACAAGGGAAAAATCCTTCTTAAGCTGGGCCATCATTTTAAAGGGCACACAAAATACTTCCATGATACTCCATATCTATGTGAGATATGAATTCAAGGGAGCCCCACATTGTCACCAGGACCCAGTTCTGTTGTGTTCTTGCTCTGGACTCAATGGTAGGGTGTTATTATGGGACCACGTTTAGCCTTCAGGACTATGCCAAGGCTCTTTCGTGTGCGTCTTCATCAGGAAGTGATATTATCCGGCAGTTGATTTCCTGTTTTAACACATGCATATACCAGCTGCTGTCTCGTATACCGGTAATTCGGACAGTATTTTCGGGCAGTAATTTGGACAGCATGAGACAGAGTCCTCTCCAAAACACGTGAAGATCGAACACGTCCAGCAGGCGGTCGACTACCAGCCAGGGCTACTTTGCGACTGAGTACGTTGTCGCAGACCCAGAAATCTGTGATCAGCAAGCTAAATTTGCAAAGAAATCCCACGCTGGGACACATTCAATAACCCCCATGTCTCGGATGCGAATCACACTCGTTTGGACTGTGTGCTTAGGCTTATATTCGAAACAAAGTAGTGCTTGAAAGCCCAACAGTAAATAAGTGTGAAATATAAGAATGGTTATTTTAATTATTGATAAGTAAGCGGCAAGAATAAGTCCTTACTTTTATATAAACAGGCTCCCATTGTCTCAACCCTTCACAGAAATCTTCTTACTGTTCGGAAAATTGTCACACCTACCTTGATTAACTTTCACCGTGGAAGGTCTGGCTCACTACCCATGTGTATACAGCTTTTTCACATGGTTTTACTGCAACACAGCACACGACTGACGAAATTCTCAATTTAAGAGTAATCGCCTCACATTATTCTTTAAAGTTCACATTAACGGGCACTCAAATTTTTGACATCCCTTCTCAGCTTGGTCAGCTGACTTATATTCTTATGCTTTGAGAATTCCCTGTTCACAGCCGCTACCTGGTTTTCTCATGATAGAAAAAAATCTTCGCGACAAGAATTGTACTCTGTATGATACCCGAGTTTAGTGAAGTTAAGCGGCAGTAATCACTGAAAGCTACAAAACAACCGCTGAACGGTAACTGAAAAATAAACCACATATTTCTGTATGCCCCTGCTAATAGGACAAGTCATATTTTCAAAGAAACGGCACTTTTAGAGGCGGGGGGAAGGGCCCGAAAAAGGACGAATTACATTTACAAAATACATTCACATTTACAAAATACATGCGTGTAGCATACCAAAGTGTGATCCAGGCCTCTATTATAGCCTCTCAGATTTCTCTATGCTTACTCACAACAGGTCGTCTATCGTTGCAACTTGATCTGTTTGACGCACTTCGCAAATTATGACTCGCGCCACTCAGCATGTGCATAAGGTTTTTTCCGGTTGGTTTCTCTACTGGTCACCTTATTTTCGACTGCAATGCAACATGCTTGTTTTCCATCAATCAACCTTAGTAGCACTCACGATAAACACGTGTAGGATAATAAGTTGGGTTAACTATATGTAGTATGTATATAAACACTTTTGTAATCCATGTCAGATTACGCTGGTTCATTCATGCTGTTGGAACGATCATACTAGGAAATGTGCATTCAAAGTTTTATGCAGACAGAACAGGCGCATATGCCACAGTAATTTGATGTAAACTACGTTGATCACTGGTGATCTAAAACCATTCAGCTTATTAGAACGAAGAATTGCACCCTAGAAGGTTTGCAAGACTGTGGAAATGGTTCGGTGGTATATGAGTGCTCTTTCATTGAGCGCTGTAAAGCAACCAACTACCTTGTTTATTTTAACTACAGTTCATACAGTGGGCATGTGAATATCATCAGAAGACAAAGAGCAGAGACCGGTGTTTTGTTGGGACAAAACGTTCAAGAATTCTCTCCAGCTGATGAATTTTAAGTGGGGACGGGTGAATGTCCTGTTGTTCTAATGTTCATTTAACTCTGGTTTACTGGTAATTAATGGAGACAGAATGTGTCATGTAGGCTATAATGGCTGAAATACTGTGTGCAGTTAACCTTGGATTTATTGTCTATTGACTTCTGTTGATACACTTGCATTCCTAAAACCAAACATGCTTACGCTTCGTTGTACTAAAATGAGCTGAATATTGTCTTCTTACTCTTTCAGACAAAAGGTACTATTTCAAACATATGTCAGGACTTTTGATGTATCTGCTTGTTCTGGGCTCAGCCTCACAAGCTATATCAGGTGATCTGTTGTCGGCAGTCCAGCATCGAATCAGGTACGCCATTAAAGAAAACCAACCAGAAAATCTGCGCATCGGTAAACTGGATGAAGACCTACTACAAACTCCTGAGAATGAAAACTCAGAACTCTTCAGTTTACTACAAAGTACAAAACGAAGCACATTGAAATATCGATTAAGAGAACCATCAAATTACTTTCGGCTCCATGAATCAACCAGTGAGCTGTCCACAAAAGTTTCGATCGATTTGGAAGCCTTGTGCCCACGATTTTGCCGCGAGGGCTTATCAGCAGCCCAACTTAATTTGTTCGTCGCGGTCTGGTACGAGGAGCGACCGTTCTCTGTAATACATGTAGAAGTAACTATCCTTGACGTGGATGACAATTCACCCCAGTTTCCACCGACATTATCGAGGCCATACGTTCTCCAACTAAAAGAAGTTATTTACAAAGCTGGAAAACAAGTCGAACTCCCCAAGGCCATTGACAAAGACATTCAGCCAGAAAATGCAGAAATCCAATACCGGCTACAGTCCCACCTCGATGACTCATCGCATGCACTGGATACATTTCACCTAGTCATTCGTAATGATTCTCGCGTGATGCTTGTTCTCCAAAAGGACTTGGATTACGAACGAGTACAACAGTATCGATTCTATCTGGTTGCTTCCTCTCCGGTTTCCGATGAACGGCGACCGTTTGGTTATGTTCTGGACCCACAGTCAGCCTTTCACGACCAGCTTGAGATTCAAGTGGATGTGTTGAATATCAATGATATCGAGCCGGTGTTTTCACAATCCACTTATAACATTGAGATACCGGAGGACACGAAGATTGGTACCATCGTACATGTAGTAAGTCAAAGATAAATTCGATCTGAATCCAGAAACGACAAAATCATTTCCATTTCGTTAACTATACTGTGTCGATTTTGAAAAAAAAAACTGAATGACTCTAGCTTGCACGCCTGTTCGAGAAATCTTGCATATGTAAGCCAAGTGAATGGAGATTTTGTCTTTTATTAGAATCCACTTTCTAAAGAAATGTCGAGAAGCACTGTGCTGCAATTTCATTTTTGTTGAGAATCATCATCTATAAATTATAGCTGAATATGAGCGACATTTAGATTACGAAATGTTTCGGACACGATCTCAGTTTGTCGAGAGTTTCACGGTGTCATCTAGCCGTGTATCATCTTTTAAGAACGTCGATTAGTAAATAGAAGTAAATCAAAGCTGTTGTTGATAAACTCCAAACAAAACGGGTGACGATCTTTGCTTGTTTCATCTGTATGCCAAACGCATAATGTATTGAAAAGTTTAAAACCGACCCGCCAGGCAACTTGTTTAGGGAGTTGCAAATTTTTTATATTCTGTGGGACGCCATGAACTCTACGGTTATTTTCCTATCTGGGTGGGAGACTGGGTAATTGGATCACACGGATCACTTCAGAAACCAGTGCTCAGAGTAGTAAAGCTATGCATGTGGGTAAATGCGCTGAAGTCAAGAATCAAGATGCTCGTTGATGTTTCTTTTGACATCAAAGGAGCATCCTACTGAATCTCAGAAATCGCTTGCAATAGAATAAAATACGGACCGCATTTTACACTCGCCAGGCCTTGCTGCCGCGGGAAAAATCAGCTCACTCCTTCGTAGGTCCTTGAAACCGATGTCCTAAAAGTGTTGGTGATATTAGAGGATACCAAAGAACGCAAATCATGGTCATTAGAAAATGGGTGCTCGTTATATCTTGGTCGCAGTAAACATCCCAAACCATCTATCTCGGTGAATGCACCGAGAAACGCAATTCTTCGCACTTTGCATTATAACTTCAAAACCAATTAAATAGGCCTGGTTAGTCTACACTGGAGAAATATCAGTGAAGATGTTGGTGTTGATTTCTCTAATTTCAGTGATTCATTTTTTGTTCTGTCACCCAAAGATACGCTCTTCCATCACCCCAAAGCTTCTTTCGATTCCTCCAATCGATTTTTGATTGGGTAGATGTACATCGTTGATCAAAAGCCAGGCGAGTGATTTGACAGTGATAAGGGTTCACAATAGTACACACTGCAGCACAAAATGTCAGCCGAGTGAATTCAAGCTGTCACTGCACATTACCTAGCATTCCGGCTCCGAACTTATCTAAATTTAAAGAAAGCTGTCATCCACGAACCACCAATCTCAGACTTTCCTTCACTCAAAAATCAACGATTACACAGCAGATCGTCGCTGGGTTTCAAAAGAAATAAATGTGATCTAGGTTAAGTTCAAATGTGATCTTCAAATACCTATTCATACCATAATCCTACTGAAATTCAGGACGCGCCTGAAAAACATTGTATGATTGGGCTAGAATGATCTCCAACTATTGATGGTTTAACATAGAAGCAACTTCCGGTCAATCAATTTCGAGAACAAAAAGAGTTTTGTTTCGGTTGAGTCAAATTGAGAACTTCCGGGTTTTGGAAGCGATCAATTTGAACGATATACCTTCAATGTCATTCCAAGATTCTGAAACAATGGTTGTTAAACAATAATTAATCTTAGTATTTTCATAACATGGAAGTTATAATCCCCTAGCATTCGTGCAGTTATTTCATGTGTGGCCTAGTTCAAATGAATAAATTGAACATGTAAGCAGCCATTTTAAAGCATTGTAGCCAACAAACTGATGAACAAGTCATTTATCATGTTATTCTTTCATAGAATGGAAATTCATTGCATGTCAGTAAATAGCATACGTTGTCATAAAGCAGGACAAAAATAAGGCCACACAAAACGCCATCCCAATGTCCTGTACACATCGGAAGGGCTTACACTAAAGTTCATCCCGTTCTATTTCCACGTCGACCGAAAACTATTTGGAGATGCAAGTTTACGTTCAATTGGAGTTCACAAAGTCACCGAAAATAACTACATTATTAGGCATTTCTTGTAAGATGCCAATCTATTTACATTAAGTGTTTAGTCGCAGCTCTGTTTCACTTCGCTTAAGCTGCTAAAGTTCTGAATTACAATATAGTTCATATAAACAGTACGCAGTAGGGGACGTCACCTTCTTCAGTAATGACTAGAAGCTAGCTAATTCTGGCCCACACCACACCGTAATTTGAGGCCCTGAACCAAGTGTGTTGTTAGACTACAGAAAATAAACCCCATTTAAGTTCAAAGATAAAGCCTCATCCCAGGAGACACTCCGATGACTGACAGAAAACGTCCGCTGCTTACGAGTTGGCTTAGAAAAATTAGGGCAGAACTTGAAAACACAAAATTCATCCACAAAACCGAGATTTATTATTTAGACAGCATAGAATTTCCCGAAAAACTGAATGGAATTAAACGGCCTAAGAATGCTTCTTGTTAACGTGAGATGATACACCGCAACCAGATTTTTTTGGCAGCATATCCACACAACCTCTTGCTATCTGTTGGAAACTCATTGATGACTATTCGAGGTGCCGATATTTTCGCTACCAACGACGTTTTCGGACCACTGCGGCTAAAACGCTAAGGATAAATATTCACTGAAGCAAAAATTACTGATCCTGTTGGAGTGTTAGCGTCTGCGTAAGAGGATTTACACGATTGTTGCACCTCAGCTATTTCAATTGGGACCGAATTTTGTTCACAAAAGCCTTCTGTTACCGAAACAATGTTTTAGTCTCAGTGATCTGTCGTTAAACGTAAACATCCGAAAAAATCTTAACTCACAAACTCCTAATCCGTTTCATTTCATTTTATGGGGCATAGAACTTGGTTTGAGAAAGCATGGCAAACAGCTACAACCATATTCTATCAACGTTTTGTTCGTTTCAATCAAATTCCTTAAATGAAATCATTGTTTCGTCCTTCCCTCTTGATTTGGGATGACTTAGATCGTATCCTCGTTCTTAATTGCTTTCCAGTTACAAGCAACGGACCGCGATGCGAATTCCACCATTGAATATTCCCTGGAAAACTCAAATGAATTGTTTAAGGTGCAAGCAGATGGGAAGGTGATAATAACCAATAAACTGGACTTCGAAAAACGGAACAAATATACATTCACCGCACGTGCCAGCGACGGAGAATTTTATGCACTTACAAGACTGGATATTACTGTCACAGATGTAAACGACGAGCCTCCTGAGTTTGTCACAAATCCACCTATTCTGAAGGTTGAGGAGAATCAACCAAGTCAAACTTCGGTCGGCCAAGTGAGTGAAGTATTATCGACTACTAGTGAAGTCTCAAAAAGAAGCTTTGCCCTGATGAGTGGGTTGGGCTATAAGCATGTAATCTTTTCTAAACCATTCCAAACAGTTTCCTTAATAGTTTTTTGAGCATTCTTCTAAACAACAATGACATCTATGTAGAATCCTGTTGACAGCAATGTTCATGCCAGTGACCGCCTGAGCGACATGTCATGTAAGTCAGAAAGACAATTAGAATATCTCTCCAAATTTTATGGCGAAGACGACTGTTCCATAATTACTGGGTTGTGCAATTAACCAGTCTTCTTGGAACTATTCCTAGTCAATAAGAATGTTGTAGTGTACCAGGTGTGCAGCGCAGTGAAACAGGGGGCAATATCGGGGGTAGGAAGCTGTTTCACAGTTGGTCTACCAATATGACTAGTCTGTTTACTGTGAATGTGTTTTGCTGGGTATTCTAGACAGCATGGTTTCTGTTGCCGGCTATGCAGGAAGACGCCACTCGGGACAACGGATTTCAAATGCTTTGCCTCTTTTGCATGATAGTCTGTTTTCACGTTCTCTTCACAAGGCCCACCGTATTTCATGTAACAGTTTAACTCCATCCATATGAAGATAATATAACTAGAGTATGTTTGATGAAGTAGCTGCTCTCGGACTAAACTCAGTTTTATAAGAACTTATACGGAATAAGATTGATGCGGTTTCAGTGCCAGTGGGTGTCATTTACACCTTTGATTCATTCTGTCACAAGTCTGGGACTTTTCAGGGTCAGTCCGGAGGTCCAGTTTTCGCTCTGCCTACCGCCATGTCACACTGTACCGTCCAGAAAACGGAGAGGGCGATGGATACAGGGTGCCGCCATATTCGGATGGTGTGTGGAACCATAAATTAATTCCGACCTTGGTTGGACAGATGCAGACCGTTGTACATCAAACTCAGTTGACAGCCTAACGATATCTGAGCCATGTGTGCACGGACCGATGGACACTGCATTTAGGAGTGCATGAAAACTCCTATTAACTATCCCGTCGTTGATATCCGAAATGCATCCACATATGGGTCATATTACAAGCATGAAATATTGGTCACGTTTAACAATCAACCCATGTTGCTTAGGCACATAAACAAATTGTTCCATAAAGATCCACGCTCAAGAATGGAAATGTTGAAAAATGTTTTAAGTGACTGGTTTACTGGCTATTTGTGGTGCTGTATAGTTCAGCACATCTTCAGCGAATAAAGTGTCTGCTGCATAAGAAAACTAACAGAAGTGTCATACTTTGTTATTCTCAGGATTTAAGTAATATAGCAAGCACACTTGTCTTTTGACAAGCAACGTTTCGGGGAAAATCAACTATCTGCCGACTAATGCATTCTCAATGCTTTTTTTCAAATCAACAGCTCCTGATTGTTGACCGTGACAGTCCGGAGGTCAATGGCAGGGTGACTTGCCATGAACCGCCGACGCTTGCCGGCAGGCAGCCTCTGCTTTTCTTCCCCGAGACTAGCAGTGCTCTTCCTATGTCCCCTGGAATCTCTCTCGATGGAGCCATAATAGACTCATCAGCCAATCCGGAACACCATGTTTACCAACGGTTCGGCTTGTATACACGGGTGGAATTCGACAGGGAGTCAGACTCGAACAAGCATCGGAGCCTCATCATCTGTACGGATGGTCAGGACATCCCAAATTCTCACGCCTCCACCAGTGTTGCTATTCAGCCACGTACTTCAACTTTAACCATTTTGTTAACAGTGACTGACCAGAATGATAATGCACCGTTTTTCGAAAAGACGCATTATGAAGCAGAATTACAGGAGAATTGTCCATTTGGGACCAAGGTTGTCCAAGTGAGTCTCAAATTTGGCCGCATATTGTAGGTAAAATGTGATTGGTTTTAGAATATCGTTTATCAGGGCGTATCATCAAACTGCCCTTCCATATTATAAGCTGGGCTCTATGCACTTTTCTCACTAGCAATCCATAAGAAGGATGAGCGTTTTGGCGATAATTTCATCTAATTCCGTTCAAGCAGTGATGGGGTATTGTTCTTATTTTGTATATCAGTAGTACGAAAGTCGAGAAAATTAAATTCAGCCATGAGTAACCTAAAGATCGCAGAATATTATGAGGAAACTGGGTTTATGCATTTTTATGGGGCGGACTTTCTTCTTTGAGTGATGAACCACATTTAAACCCGGTATGATAGGTCCTAAAAAGCTTACTGCACTTGTGAATGTTTCAGGAGTCGTTTTTAGGTCGAGTTGCTCTCCACCTGTAACAAATGACGCGACCTAAACTGGGTATCTCTGTTGTGAACGTAAGCCAACTTTGTTGTTTCAAAAGCAAACTGCATTTTTTACTCTGCCACTTGCAAATCGTTTATCAAACTCACTTGCCATTTTCCCGCTTTTCTCTCCACTTTGAGGCAACCTCATCGAATTCCCAACTATTACCCAACTTCGCCTAAGTAGGCTGGTCATCGTACTCTGAAAACTTCACGAAAAAGTACAGTTCAAACTCAAGTTCACTTCAAAAACGGCTAAGTCATAGAACATGCTTGTTCCTAAGGTTATAGTAGTCCTAATTTTGCGGTGTCGATTCTTCCAAGAACAATCTGCTCTTTGGAATTTTGTCGTATGGTGGAAAGATGCTTAATTTAAATAAACCTTTTCTTGATGAATCAGTGGCGTGTATTCTGCCGTTAGAAATTTTGTTCACCTGTGCCATTCTTAGTTGGCTTCACCATATCATTCAGAAAATGGTATAGAAGCCAGCAGCTTGTGATATTCGTTAAACAGTCAACAAAGTTTATCAGATGCTGCACATGTCCGAAAACCAACCCTCGGGATATGTATTATTCTCTCTTGAGACCATATATGGTAAAGTGCTCGCAGGGATCATCCCTGATAATGTAATGGGGATTTAAAACCAATACAGCTCTGCTTGCCGTGGCTGGAAATCGCTATGGAGACGGAACTTCAGGAATCCTGCAGCAAGAATTCTCATGCTGCTGAAGCAGCAAATGTGCGCCGTCATGCATTGCGCGTTTGTTTTTAGTTTCACAAAACCTTTCATGTTAAACGAACTGATGAAAAGGTTTCTGATCAATAAGAGCACCTTTTTTCAATGTTCTCCTGGTTAGAATTTACATCCTCATTGGTAATCTTTCATAGATTTCTCAGGTCACTTGCACTTTGCACGGCGTTTATTTCTTGAGACACCTCTCCCGGAAAAATTCTTCCTTGATTGTTTGTGGCGAAAAACAGTAGCACTTGTGCCGGTACGCTTTTGTCACTGATTTTGTTCGCTTCAAGGCAGTAACAGTTGTGTAAAATGCATGTTGATGTACGCTAATCAATAGCTTTCGGATGCATAAATCAAAAACAGGAACTCGAGCTAAAAGCAGTCTTTTGCGTTACTCACCAGAGCACAGGGCTGAATTGTAAACAAAGTATTTTCAGTGTAAATTACACTCTATTACGGGTAGCCTGATAACCAATTTATTAACACTGTGGTTATTCTGTCCATTCAACTAAGTAATTGGGTTGCAAACCCTTCATTACCAATCGAAACAATGAAGTAGTGAGTTGGTGGTACATGGTGATGCCCCTGCATGAATCCTTTGGGCAGTGCTGTGTTTGCTTATGGATGCCTTTTCGACGCCTGTTTTTATGATTAGTCCATACTAAGTGACAAAACTCAGTGTCTAGACAACGCTCATTTCTTGGCTTGAGGGGATTATGTTTGAACAAATCTCACCGGCTGATCTTCTATTCAATAAGGCCCCGATATGACTGCCCGACAGTGACCAAAGAAACGACAGCTCGGCTTCGGGGCGAATAGTCTTCACCTGGTTGTCCGTCTTTAAAATTCTGTGTCAAAATGCAGTGTTTTGGCCCAACTGCATTTGTCTGACAAGGTCTGTGACAGCAAGTCGATGAAGAATTCAAAAAGTTCTCTAACTACAGGATATTTCACTTCGAGAGGGTTCTGCGCTCTGCATGTCACGACAATGAAGTAAAATCTAACCAGCGACCATTTTCATTATCAAACAGCATTATTCTCCGATGCCCTCTCATGTCTTTTCATGTGTTTTCATCCCTATCATACAAACTAATGCGTTGGATTCTGTCGTAGAATTTAAATTATGAAATCAGATGAATTATGGGAGGCAACTTAGTTCAAGGTAGCCTTTCACTGTGGGGGACTCCACACGCGATATCATTTTTTTCACTTTTTCATGGTTGATTACGGTGTAGAAGAAGATATCGTGGAGAGGAATGCTATGCTAAAACCCAGACCTTGAAAATCAGTTACACCATCCAATGTTTTAGTCTCCATAACAACCGTGTTCGGCTGTACACATGATCATGTATCTGCTGCATAACCGCCACAGGTTTCACCAAGCAACAAACGTTGGTTGAAGGGAGCGTCCTTATCTAGCCTAGGTTTATCAGTTGGTGCAGGTGTACTACCGATCTACAGTGGGTTTCTTTTAAAACTAAGCCTTGCCGTTAATGACACCCTATGTACCTGGGGAAAAAGTGGTGAAATTTATTGGAAAGTTTGTTCTCATGTAAGTTAGTTGTCATTCTATGGTAAAGAACCATAGGAGCCTTGTTTTCTTTTATTGAACTGTACGTAATTGGGGTCTCGTTCAACAGACGGACACACCGGTAAACATTAAATGGAGGTGTTCTTCATACACTGCGGATATAACGCAATGACGACGGGGAAATTTCCGTTGTGTAGTGAATAACCTCCTAACTTATACCATACTGAGTTAAACCATATAAACTTTAAGTGCAAAAGTAGTTTGGTGTTCAGTTTCCTAAGTAGGATCAGGCAGGGATATTAGAAACATGGTTTCTAGGACTAGACCCGTAAACTTTGTGGCTGCAAAAGTAATTATGTGTATGTCCGACCGAGAATTTCCTGATCCGATACAAATGTTAACTTGTCTAATTTTGTAACGCAGCATGAAATTTTTCAGTAACTTGAGAGGACATTTCGTCGGGCTTTGAAACAGTTGAGTAAAATTAAAGTATCTGTTGGTCGATCTATTAGTCCAGTAGTATGTGGGTCAATGAAGCTGTTTAAACTGAGACAGAGAAGGATTCTAGGTACAGCTCGCCCTCAATTTGAAACAATAGGAGCATCATTCTTCCTTTATGAAGCTAGCATATCGAACACCCTAGACATTAGGCGGGAGTATCAATTGTCTCTATCCTGTAGTTCACATGTTTGAGGGATATCACCACAAAAACATGTGGGGCTGCTAAATTCCGACGTTATTGTCGACCATTTATGTAAATCAGGCAAACTAACCGGTTACTGGTTGGCAATCATAACTACTCGAGATGAGGCATGACAAGAATGCTGATTTTACCCGGTACGTTGTTTCTCAGGTGTTCACAACGTACATACGTACCAGCACATGTCGATTCATCTCGGCCTAACCAAATTTTGATAGATACTCATTGGAGAGCTTTCTGACAATGCTGTATTCTGAAGCAAAACAATCCACCGTAGTGACGTCAGAAGACAGGCAGTATAATCAAGTTATTGTTTTTCTGTCATCTTACCTATTAAATGGTCGGCCTGATGACTTTTCTTATTGTCATGACAACCAACCGCATACGGTCGTACATTGTTGCACATAAATGGCATGCTTCAACGACTGAGTTTTCCCAGCTGGAAATATGAAAAGAAATGAGGCAAGATGATCAGTGTCCGTTGGTCCGTTTATTGCATTAAACAGCTTGGCTGCAAAAGCGTCATCACCAGTCGAGTTGACATCATCATGCATCAAGCTGACACGCTTGCAACCAGATCGCCCACGTTACAGAGCATAGCAAAAGTCATCATTAGAAACGAAGCTACCAACAGTTGCTTCAGTTACGGAAGATGTTCACTGCAGGTAGGACCAGATCAGGCCCAAAATTATTTGTGGAACCACTAAGTTAAGTTTAAGGTTAAGCACTCCGTCGAGAGACTTGACAGTTTAAACCTCTTAGTTCATAGACTTGTCGACCGCTATATGTCAATTAGGTGAATTTAAAACTTTGGATATCTAGCTTAGCTGAACAAGGTTGTTCGCCCTACGGTATCCGCTTTTCGGATATTCCTGCCAGGTTGTGAAGCGACATTTGACTCGATATGGTTACTGGTCATTTGAAGCCCCTCCAAATTTGACACCAGATATTGATATCATGTCTAAAAGGCTTTGAGTACTATGATATGCACACCAACTGGTTGGTTCATCTTAGAGGCTTCAGACGCCGTTTTATTTGAAAGACACGGAGGAAAAAACAAGCTTGCCGCTGAATATTCACTTTTCGAGGTCCGAGACCTGAAGTCTTGAAGAAAAGGTTCATGTTGTGTGAGTATTTAGAAAATATTTATCTAGAGAGAGTAAAAACGATTTCGTCAAACTCACTGGTTTCACCCATTAGGAGGAAAAACCGAGAGGACACACCTTGGAACACAGTGCGCAAGATGAAAGCAAATTTTTTCACTGGGGAGGGAAGATCAGCTACAAAGTACGAAAATCTGTCAGTTTATACGGAGCAACGTGAGGACTCGTGTTTGTTGATTCGATGTTTGACAATGAGGTATACTTCTTCTCAACGCTTGGGATTTTAGTTCACACAAAAAAGCTTATGATGAACACTATGGCACAGTAACAGTTTTTCACGATCTCTCCTAAATTTCTTGTTCACCACCATTGGCCGAGCTCGTTAAACTTTTACCGCTGAGAGCGAGATGGTTTAGTGATTAGAGCGCAGATTTACTGACCGGAAGACCCATGGTTCGAAAGCAATATCTGCCTCTCGACTTTCCCGTC